CCCCAAAACCCCAAAACCCCAAAACCCCAAAACCCCAATTATATTATACTTTAAATAAGCTGTGAAAATGGAATTTAATATCGGGGAGGATGCTTCTAGAATGAAGCCAAAGAAGAAATACCATAAGAAGTAAGCTCTCAGAGCTGGATTTCCCACTCATTTCTTACATACTCAAACCTCCTGTGTCGTTATAGCATCTCAATGATAAATGATCTAAATATTTCAAGAGAGTTTTCAATGAAAGACAGCAGTAAATTACAGTTAAGATTTCTAGGCTCGAGTTTTTGGAGAAGTCCTCAGAACACTCCGAGGAAGTTTAAACATAAGTTTATCATAAAAAGTCCGAAGGTAAGTGTCATTTCTGAAAATTAGGACTCTGAGCGTGATATTGATAAGGCTCACTATATTACAAGTATGGGGAGAGACTCCAGAACTATTGAAATCAAGTCTCGGAATGGATCTATAAAATCGTACGATATTAATTTACCCTAGTTATATAACCTTCTATAGAAAAAGGATACATCAGGAGATTCAGAAGGAGGATAAGAGCATCAGCATGACACCGAGTTCATATCCAATTAAGGTAGATGAGTCAATCCAAAATACTACCATCAGCAACTTCATGGATAAAGAAGAGTTTGGCTTATGAAGCATTGAGTTGAAATAAGAACTCGCTAGCAAATTGTCTCTCTATAGGGGTGAGTTACCAATCTCCAAGAGTCATAATAGAGCGATCCAAAAATGTCTTGAGTAACTTTATTAGCCTAATTTCTAATCTAGAAGGCAGGAGTAACAAATTCAGACCTGTGGAGAGTATTGGAAACATTCAGAAACTCCATGAATTCCTTCAAAGGAAATAAGTTAGAATTAATTATTAATATTAGGTCGATGGAGATGCCCAAGAAGGTCAGGCCAATATTTAAGTATAAATTCGATATCCAAAAAGTTAACGATCAGGTTAAAAAGATCAAGGAAAATTACATCAGAAGAAACCAAGCCAGGTATGCACCTGTATGGTATGTATAGAATTTCACCTAGGGAAACTAGCCTCGTTGAGGACCAAGGTAAGTAACTTCAGAGCATCAGAATGTAGTAAAGTAGCTTTAGATGTCCGAAATTGTAGTTACCATTTGAGAAAACCAAATTTATTCAGCAAAATAGTTCTACCTCCTCAAAAGGCTAAGTAAGGAAATTGGCATAATTTGTAGTGCAAATTTGGGCCAACTTCGAGTGACGCCAAAGCATAGCTTTCGGTATGCCAATTCTCAGACTCTGCATAAACGAAACTATACCAGGCACTTATTTCAGACCCAGTTTGTAATTTAACCTTCTTGATTCTTTAGACTCGAGGGCATAATAGAAGTCTTAACTTTTCAGAGAAAGATCAAAGTATTCAGACGTATATTATACCGATGATTTTATAGAAGTCTAAGAGATCTGAACGAGTCCCAGCTCTATGGAACCGTCGTAAGTTAATTAATCACCTTTATAGAGAGTGACTAATCCAAAGCTAAGCCAAAGGATGCATTCGCAGTTTAAGAATGCTCAGTATTCGGGAAGGAGTAGTGTGGCAACCTGAAAATTAATATAATTCAATAAAACTGCTTCGTTTTGGGGTTTTGGGGTTTTGGGGTTTTGGGGTTTTGGGG